GTGGGAGTGTACTTGCAAGTACACATCTATAGGTGTGTACTTGACAAGCATACATCTATAGATGTGTACTTGGGCAAGCATGCATCTGTAGCTGTGTACTTGGACAAGCACACATATATGTCACCCATTTGCCAGCACACTCCTATTGATGCATGCTTGCCCAAGTAAGCTATAGATGTATGCTTGTCAAGTACACACCTACAGATGTGTACTTGCAAGTATACTCCCACAGCTGTGTACTAAGCACACAATTGATTTTGTAGTGCGGCTGAGCAGGGAGCAGCGCCCCGCCGGAGTAGATTGGCATTCCTCCCGCACTGTAAATGTCTTACGGTGAAAAGGGGACCAACCCTAAAATGGTGGAGATTTTCTCCATAATACCAACGAAATTTTGTCAAAATCTCTGTAGTGAAAATTTTCAATGGTATGTTACGAAGTCAGCTGCACCAAACCCTAATATGGAAAATTTTCACCATAATATGGAGAATCTTCACTGTAGAACATTTAGAGTGCGCCGCCTCCCGCGCTCCGAGCAAAAAGTGGTCGTCGTGCACCTCGCAGACGACTCAGAGCCTCGCAGCAGACTGATTCCGAGAGTCGCTTTCGTCGCTGTCTGTCTCGCACCTACAGGGTGAGTTTTTTCGATGTGTCAATAATTTGTAGGAAGCTTAGGCACCCCTAGCGGATCATTTTTCGCTAGTGAACTAGTGGGCGCAAACGTCTAGTTACTGAGATAATAAGTGTTTTGTAATTTACCTTCGCGCCCACGAGGTAGGCTCTCGCCGCCACCCGAGGGTGGTGGGAACTCCCGAGTGGGGGTCATGGGACTCGCAGTAAACCCCAGGGAGTGCCACTGACTTCACGGAGAAAACCCTGGAGTCCTGCCACCCTCGCTAAGACAGCCGCGCGAGATCCACTGTTACGCAGGCCACCACGACAGTCACCTGAGACCCTCGGCAACCCCTCTGAAAAGTCAATTGAAAGGTCCGCCGCACCCCTGCGACCTTCGTTGCATCCCCGCTAGACCCACGACATCCTCTCGTGAGGTCTTGAGATCCTCAGTGGCCGCAGGTGTGTATCTGGCAGGTGCGAATGCCAAATTCTAAATATCATTTATCTCCGTACCTAGACGTTTGCGCCCACTAGTTCATTGGTGAAAAGAGATCCTCTTGAGGTGCGCAAGCTACCTACAAATTATTGACACATTGTAAAAACTCACCCTGTATACGGGACGCCGCGTGAGTGCGAGGGAGGCAACGCGATGAAAACGACTCTCGGAATCAGTCTGCGGCCCGCCGTCACCGCCTCGCCTCTCCCCGAGTCGGCGCGCCCGCCGAGGCGCCCCAAAGTGGGCCAGAAGACCGGTGGAGGCGGCCAAAACTCGAGACACGTTTTGAGCTCGGAGGCGCTAAATGGGCCACGAATCGAACGTGTGACCCCACCAATGGATTCCTTGAGTGGAGAGCAATCCATTGGTGGGGTCACACGTTCGATTCGAGTCCCGTTTAGGGAATCTGGAGCTGAAAACGAGTCTGAGTTTTGGCCGCCTCCACCGGTCTTCTGACCCACTGTGCGCCCGCCGCCCACGCTAACGCACTTCGACGCCTCTCGAACACGTCCCGCTCATCAGTCATGCGTCTTCAGTTCGTGTCTCCGAGGCGCTCCCTCCCCCCTCCCCTCCCCGCGCTCCCCCAATCACCGACCACACGTCGAACCTCCCCCTCTCCCCCGCCACCCTCTGAGCGGCCTCATTTTCACGGCGTTCCGCTCAGGAGGACACACAGACGGGCGGGCCGACGTGAGGTAGGCAGGCGGACGGGCGGTAGGCAGGCGGACGGGCGGAGCCACTGACTGGCTGGCGAACAGACGAATCAAGAGACAAAGACCTGCGAAATGTTTTTATTGTGCACTGAGATTCCACACGCTATGAGTATAGCACGTATGGTGCAATGCGCTGTGATATCGCACCATACGTGCAATGCCACAGCCATATTGCACCTTTGGTGCAATGCTTCCCGAAAAGGCCCTATGCTAATGCATGGGAATTTGGAGGCATTGCACTTCATGTGCAATGCTTTTGTATTGCACCAATTGACGCTATACTCATAGCGTTTGGATTCTCAGTGTATGTATGCTCAAAATATTCCGTAAAGTTTTAATCGTGTGTGCAAACTACACAATTACTAATTTGAATGTGGTGATGCATGATTTGATATCTGTGAAAATTTTGCCCACATTTGCATAAAGTCGTGCAAGTTACACGAGGGGGGAACAGCTTCACACATTTATTGTACACAATTTGACCACATTCCACATTCAGGTGGCAAAAACGCCTGTAAGTAGGCAACATGTGTGGCAAAAACGCCGAAATCATGCACATTCTTGCACATTCACACAATCATTGTACATAAAATTTGACAGTGGGTCACCCCTCGAAGTTACACGTTAAAAATTATACATTATGCATTATACATTGTGCCCTGACCGGGGAAAAGCGCCTGCGAACATGCGGTAGACCCGCCCGTGACGCTTGCGTGTGTTGCGGGCTTGCCTATCTCCAGTCTGCAGGCGCCAAAGCGTGGCCGGCTCGGTTCTAGCCCTATTTAGCGACTCTAAGTCTGAAAACGCGTCCTACAGTTTCGGCCGCCTCCACCGGTCTTCTGGCCCACTGTGCAAGGTGCACAAGGTCCTCGCTGCCGCCCCCATTACCGAAATGGCGTCCATGTGTGCGGGCCGGCCTGGGCCCGGCCGGGTGTCGCTTCCGGAAAGGAGACACCCCAAGTAGCGCGGAGCTGCAGCGACCCGCCCAACAACAACAACACGCCGTCACGCTGCTAATGGGGATGCAACAGGAGGCGGCGCCCTGCACTGCACACACTACAACACCATCATTTCTTGTTGCCAACATTTTTTTTCCCGCGTACCCGTTCCGTGTCGAGTGACTGGATGCGACGGAAAGGGGACGCGCCAGTGAAAAATGGGCATTCGGCAATGAGAATGGATGGCGGTGTACTAAGAGACCGAGAGCGAAGCGGGAGGGGGGAAAGGGGGGGGGGGAGGCGCTTTGCGCGCTTGGCGCTTGCCGGGAACGTGTGAAGCGCACAACTTATTTCAAGTAGGCAAAATTAAATAAAAGCACAACCGAGTCGGAAACGGCGGCGGGCGGCTGTGCTGTAGTGGCGCTGCAGGCTGAGTCCGAATGGGACCTCTCTCTCTCTCTCTCTCTCTCTCTCTCTCTCTCTCTCTCTCTCTCTCTCTCTCTCTCTCTCTCTCTCTCTCTCGCACTCATGGAGCGTCCCGTAGGGGTGCGAGAGAGACAGACCGACGGGACCTCCCCCTCGGAATCAGCCGGCTGAGCCCCTTCGCCGGGTGGAGCGCGGATGGCGTCTCGGAGCGGAACGCCCGCGGCACCGCCATGGGCACCGACCCGCCACCGCCACGCCACCGCCACGCTCAGCCTCGCTCCTCGGGGACACGGCGGCGCCACGGCGGCCGACTACGTGAGTCAGTGTCTACAGCGCCTTGCCGCCAGACGTGCCGTCGGCGCGTGCCTCCGGCGTAACGATGAAAATGATGTGGCCGTGCCGTGCCCTCGTGCCGTGCCGCTCTTCGGCACTGATTCACCGCCACGGCGGAAACCGGATGCAGCGCCGTTCGCCTTTCTAAAAACAATAACAATGGCTGTGGCAGGCCTCTGCAGACTGATGCCGAGAGTCGTTTTCGTCGCTCTGTTTCTGCCGCACTCTTCGGAGAGACAGAGCGACGAGAACGACTCTCGGAATCAGTCTGCAGGCTTCCTCTGGGCCTCCGCCGGCCGAGGCCGAGGGCTCTGCGGACGACACTATTCGTTTCCCCGCGCAAAGAAACGCAAATGACTTTGGCGCCAAAAAAGTCTTGGAAAGTTGCTGCGGGGCTCGGCGACTTAATTATCGCCCCGCGGCCACGCGACCGCCAGCCAGACCGCGGCGGGGACCTGCTGCCGGCCTCGTACACTGCTTCGGACACGACCTCGGACACGGCCTTGGACCAACACGGCCTCGGCACGATCTTGCACACGGCCCCGCACACGGCCTCGAACACGGCTGGGGCAAGACCTCAATGGCTAAACGCTAAAACGGCCTCGGATACGACCTACGGTAACTCGCCCGCGATAGACCTCGTGACAGACCTCGAGATCACCGGCCTTGGACACACTTGGCCCCAACGGCCTCGAACACGGCTGGGGTAAGACTTTGGCTACAACCTCAGACACGGCCTCGGACACGGCCTCGAACCTGGCATAGAACTCAGCCACGGACACAAGGAGGCAATCACGTACGGTGTTTTGTGACACAAGATTTCTGAGGCCAATAAATTTCGTCGGATTTCGTCCATTTTTATGTATAAAATTGCCTGTTTATGGCCTTTTTGGGGAAAGATTTCAGATTTCCTGAGATTTCTTGGGCTCCGGGGGACACAGGATTTCTCGAGTGGTTGCCCTCTCACACGGACACGGTGCTGGCGAAAACCGCGACAACCTGAGACACGGCCTCGGTGACGACCTCGGACACGGCCTGCACCACGGCGATGATCGAAATGGGGCTGCAAATTCGGGGCTGCACGTGACGGGCGTGGCGCTGCGTTGCTCCGCGTTTCTCATATCCTGTTCTTCTCGGCGACTCGCCCTGCTCCGCCCTGCCTGGTCTGTTTGCTCGCCTTTCTTTCCATATTAAATTCCGACTAACATCGGCGTGGAACCTCGCGAGAATTCTTCCCCCGTCTCCGAACCCCTCCGGGCTCCAGGTCCCCCAACCCCCTCCCCCTCGAGCGTCTTTATTTTCCATTCTCTCTTTCGCTGTCGTCGTGCCTGACGGTAATTTTGGGTCGGCACCTCTTTAATCTGTGTGCGTCACTTGTGTGTGTGTGTGTGTGAGTGAGAGAGAGAGAGAGAGAGAGAGAGAGAGAGAGAGAGAGAGAGAGAATGCCTGGTGGCTGATGAACTCTTTCCCCTGTTGTGCCAGGTGCTTCTGGTGGAGGCCCGCTCCGCCACGTACGTCAAGGACCCCCACCGCTGCGAGTTCCTCATCACCTCGTTCGAGTCCACGTGGGGCATGCTGGAGAACCCGCGCCACTCGCTGCCGCCCAACACCACCTGCCGCTACCACTTTCAGGTACAATTAGTAGTTTCGCCAGTCTTCGCCGTTGTTTTTCAAGGAATTATGCGGTGCCATTTTCGGTAGATTGTGACTTCGGTCATGTTCGTTTGAATACGATGTCGCATTTATAGAAAAAATAATTTCTTTACGAAAATTTCGGTATTAATTAATCCGCTTATTAATATCTACTCAAACTTGTATCTGGTTTTCAAAAAAAAGCGTAGCTAAAGTACACTAAGTTATAGATACACTAAGATATGGGTGCTGCACGCTCCAAGACGAGAGTAGAGCTCCTTACTACGCGTAAAGAAAAAGCACCACAATACGCCCTGTGTTCAGCAATGAGTTTGCTAGCAAAAACTAACATGTTTTTCGTGTCTTTCCAGGGCAAGAAGCGTGAGACGGTGTGGCTGTCGTTCGTCAAGTACCACGCGGCCGCCACGGACCCCACGGCCTTCGACTCGGAGTGCAACGCGCGGATGCGCGTCTGGGACGGCCGGCACGGCGTGGCCGGCGCCTCCACTACGCACAAGGTACATCTCGACCACGATGGGGTTTGAGTTTAGAAAACTAGGGCGTCAAGATCGTATCGCCGGGTGAGTCCCCCAAGACCCTGGAGGCCATCATCACCATGTTAGCGTGTTGCAGTTTTCGGGTGAAGTGAGCCAGAAAAGACACGGCGAGGATCACGACAAAACTCGAATTAAAGTCTTTTAAACCTTCAACACAATGCTTGTTCGCCTTCCTTCCACATCAACCGTCTCACAGTGCCCCGGAGCACCACGCTCCAGCCCTTGACTCTGGCTTATAACGCAGTGATGACACCCCACACAAATTCCCTTACGCTAACCATCGGTGCCGGTCCCAGGGAAGGGGCTTTCGCTGCCCGCCACTTGCAGCGCGAGGCAGCCCTGCGTTCAATGTCTGAGCGTGACGCACCCGCGCCTTGTCAGCCACCTGGAGGGAGCCAGCCTGCAGCCAATCTGCACCCAATAATTTTCTCTCGGGAAACCCCTTGCCCCTCCCCTTTATCCGCTCCTGCTTCGCGACCACAATCGAACGTATCTCATTGGCGTGGGTAGGGATTGAAGGCCTGAGGGATTGAATGCCAAAGGCCTGTGTCGAAGCACGCGCGAATGTGACCGTAAATTTCTGGTTGAGAGACGCCCGTCGCTGCCCCGTGCTGAGAAGGACTGGATTCCTCCCAGAAGTCAGAAAGCAGCTCCCTTGAACCCGGGATACCGTAGAACACCAACCCCAACCGTAGGTCCCCTGACCGTCCGATTTAGACTTCCCCGTCGGGATGCGGTCCGATACAGTCTGGATTTCGACGCCTTCACTACCAGTTGGAGGACCGCCTGCTAGACTAGATACAGGCCTTAGGCCACTAGATACTAGCTGATGGCTTGTGAGCAGTCTAGCACTCAAGTATGGCCGTAGCATTGTCGGCTTAGAGGCTCGCCATCGACGGTTTACTCCACTGGATAGATCAGTTGCGATCGCCCGTGAACAGTATGCCGACCCAACGGTTCAGACGTACAGCTCCGAGCCCTCGGATGGCTACTTCTGACTTCTGGAAGGAAGACAATCCCGCCCAGCAGGGTGACAAAGATGACTGTCTCAAAAGACGGCGTGTAAATATTGCGTCGTCCCTTTCTGGCCAATTTTTGACCAGGCCGAACCCCCCTCCCTCAAAGTGACGATGTAATATTAGCACGCCACCCAACCTGAAATTCGAGGTCGCATTCCCGCGTGCCTCGACTCAGGCCTTTGGTGTTCAATCCGTGGCAGGCTGAAGACCGGCGACAGCGATCAAAATCCCGGGCATGTTTTGAGCTCCTGAGCCGCGAAATGGGACTCGAACCGAACGTGTGACCCCACCAATGGATTGTTCTTTAAATGAGGAATCCACTGGTGGAGTCAGACGCTCGTTCTGAGTCCTGTTTAACGACTCTGGAGCTCAAAACGCGTATAGAGTTTTGGCAATCGGCGCCGGTCTTCTGGCCCACGTGCCTCGGGGACCTTGGACGTTCTCGGCGTACTTACGTCGCAACCACCCCAATGTAAACTCTGAAATATTGACTTCAATATCAGATATTGAAATATTGAGATCAATATCATGTATTGAGATATTAAGATCAATATCGAATATTGATATTGGTCATTTCAATGTGCCTATGAAATTTCATCATAAAAATAATGAAATTGAAGTAAATATATTGAAAACCCGCCCAGCCCTGGCCCACACAGTCGGGCCTGCCCGCACCAGGCAGTCCGCGCGCCACACGAGCCCTTGTGCAAAGGCTCCGTTTCGCTATAAAAAAGAGAAAAAAAGCTTGAATGACAACAAAAGAGTGAGAGGACCGGTTGAAAAATGATTTGGCCGCACGCAACCCCGGAGGAGAGTGGCGGGTGGAGGTCAGTTTGCACAGCATGGGGAGCGGGGGGGCTTTTCCAGCGAGTACATGGACAGACTGGGCCAGCGTGGGACAGCTCGCCAAGGATTGTGTTAGCGCTAGTCGTTGCAGGCAACCCCTTTCACAATTAAGTGCCCGCCGACACCGTTGGCAACGGTGTGGTGTGGGTTTGACTCCGTGCGCCGCCTGTGCACGCAGACAGGGAGAGACACTCAGACTCTGTCCTTCCCCGCCAATTTGCCGAATTTGCTTCTCCGAGGAACCGCTTCGACGACCCAGCCCCCCCCCCCTCCCCATTCGCCCCTCCAGCACAAACCGCATAATATTCCCCCCCTGGGGGAGGGGGGGACTGGCTGTGCTACGTAATACTCACATCATTACATGCCACACGATCACGCACGTCCAGGTCTGTGGTGTGCGGGCATCTCAAAACCAGAGCATTCGTCTTTTTTTTTCTTGCCACGTTTCCGGTTTGTCCCAGGAGGGTCCTCATTTACAACTGTAACCCAATGAGGCGTCCTTCCAAAAATATTGAAATATCGGCCCAGCCTTGATTTTAACGCGGCCTTGAGGCACGTTGCCGCAGGCATGGCCGTGTTTCTGGCCCAACACTTTCCTTTTTTAATGACTTCTATGTTTTTATTTTTACCTGCCGGCCCAAATGTCAGAATGGGTTTATTTTTTTCAATGTTGGATCAGTATGGGGAAGAAACAAACACCTTTGGGTGAGGAAAATTCGAACATTCCATTTTTAGAGCGGATTTCCTTGTTTCAAGATTTACTATTTCTGGTGCGCTCCCACGATCATGTAGGGCACCAATCGGTTGGTAAAGTTTGTTACCACTCCTGCAGTGTTCTATTCGGGCCCGCTCTGGCAAGGCCCTGTAGAATTTTTAGGGCAAGGGAAAAACAACTACTTTTGGGGAATGACTTTTTTTTTGAAAATAACCTTAAGATAATGTGAAATAACATTGCAATAACGTGAAAAACGTTCTAATAACGTCAAAGTAACTTAACGTGAAAGAGCAAAAATTTAAAATAGCGCGGTGTGATAAAAAGTTTTTTTTTTGTTTTTTTTTTAAATAAAAGTTTGTTGCTTTCTGTTGCACAAGTGACAATGTGAGTTCCTTCTGCAGGGCAACTCGAGCCTGCTGGGGGAGTTCTGCCGCGACACGGTGCCGCGGCTGTGCGCGCACTCACTGCTGTCCAACACGACCCGCACCACGAGGCCCTGCTCGCCCGCCGAGAGCTACGTGTCCACCTCGCCAGAGCTCACGCTGGAGCAGTTCCTGCGCCAGGGCTCGGCGCTCTACCCGCTCATCTTCGCCCTGCGCTACGAGTTCGTCGACACGGCGCTGGAGGGCGCGCGCGACAAGGCGTCCACCAACCCGTGCGACCGGGTCTTCAGGTACGTCGACACTCTGCTGTAGGAGAGCGTGACGTTGGCGAAAGGGCCTTGCAGAAAACTGCACAAGAGGGAGAAAGGAACAGATACTTCAAGAACATGAGCCGAACAGTGTTCTCCAGGCCCACCACGCGCTAGGTACATCTCGACCACGATGCGGATGGAGTTTAGAAAACTAGGGTCTAGATCGCATCGCCGGGTGAGTCCCCCAAGACCCTGGAGGCCATCATCACCATAATCGTCGCTGTTAGGCCTATGCATACCTTTATCGGTTCAGTCAGCACAATCTGACCTCACATGACCTGACCGCAACCTCTGATGCAACTCTGATGCAGTGGGATTTCATCACATAAATTGGGCTAATCCCTATCCGAAGCACCCCGACAGCCCTGTTGACCGCCATGTCGTTGCCCCCAGGTCGTCGAGCACCTCGCCGTCGCAGGGCCACTTCCAGGCGCCGCGCTCCGTCTTCTTCTACGGGCGCGGCGGCGCGCAGAACCTGAGCTGCGTGTTCCGCTTCGAGGCGGGGCCGGGCGAGCGCGTCAAGCTGACGCTCACCAAGGGCCGCTTCGGCAACAGGCAGTGCAGCCAGCGGCAGGACGCGCGGACGGGCCGCTGGGAGTGCGAGACGCGCCCCGCCACCACCAAGGCCGTGGCCGCGGCCAGGGGCGGCGGCGGCCGCGCCGAGCCCCAGGCCGAGCTCTGGGTGTCCGAGTACCCCTGGCCGGGCGTGCCCGTCGCCAGGGACTGCTTCTGCTCCCGCCTGCAGGTGCCCGTCGTCATCTCCACCCTCACGTCCCCCGTCGTCGAGGTCAACTTCACCGTGTCGCGCATGAACATCACGCAGGACTACAACGACTTCCACTTCGAGGTGAGTGACTGGAGCTCAAAACGCGCGCGGTTGACCGCCTTCACCGCAGCAACAACTACGCTTCAGTTGAACCAGTGTGGTGGTGCGGTCCGGCCGGCGGACGCCGTTCTGAACTGTTTGTGTTCCAGGGCGAGTTCGAGTTCATCGGCCTGACGGAAAACTCGGTTGAGTCCGGCGGACCGCCGGGGTGCGCTGGCGCGCGCGCCTCGGACCGCCGGATGACCAAGAACTCCGGGGAGGTGACACTGCGCCGCCCCGCCCCGCCGACGCCCCCCGGAGCCCCGGAGGGGGGGCTGGCCCCCGCCGTGAGCGCGGCTGCGGCCAGCATGACGTCACCCGCGCCACCGCCACCGCCCATGGACCCCGACGAGCTGACCTGCGTCAACCCGCCGTGGCTCATCGAGCCCGAGGACCTGGGCCACTACATCTACCTCAAGGTGAGCGCGCGCGGCGCACGCCTCCGACTCGACGACACCGACCGACAGTCGCTCGCTCACTCACGCTCACCGCACGCGTGCACTCACAAGGTCGCTCTCTCTTACTCTGTCAGTCAGTCACTCCTCGCACTCTCACTCACACCCTCTTTCACCTACTCTTCACGCACTCTTCACTCACTCACCACTCTTCACTCCTTCACTCACTTACTCTTCACTCACTCTTCACTCACTCACTCCTTCACTCACTCTTCACTCCTTCACTCACTCTTCACTCCTTCACTCACTTACTCCTTCACTCACTTACTCTTCACTCACTCACTCTTCACTCCTTCACTCACTTACTCTTCACTCCTTCACTCACTCACTCTTCACTCCTTCACTCTCACTCTTCACTCCTTCACTCACTCACTCTTCACGCACTCACACACCACCCAAACACACAGAAAAAGGTTCCGCAACGCACCGAAAAACAGCTCGGAACAAAACACTCACCTCCTTCACCTGTATGCTGCAGATCCGCGGGAAGGAGATGCCGCGCATGTCGGCGGACTGCCGCACCAAGAACCGCGTGCTGGTGCGGCCGGGCCTGGACTCGCGCAAGGTGTGGGTGTTCTGCCCGGCCGAGCCCAACTCCAACGAGGTGTCGGAGCTCTTCTCGGAGGGCTGGGAGCCGCGCGCCAACTCGTCGCCCATGTCGCTGCTGTCGCCGCTCGCGCGCGCCCTCATCGTGGAGCTGGTGCAGCGCGAGGAGTCGACGCGCAGCCCGGGCCCCGCGCCGCACGTGTCCTGGGTGCAGGTCTCGCGCAGCAACCGGCCCTCCGCCGCCTCCTCCGCCGTGGCGGCCTCCCCGCAGGACTGCCCGTACAAGTGAGTTTCCGTACACTGCCAAAAAAAGGAAAAGAAACGAAAAAGAATTAGGCACGGGTAAAAAACTGTATAATGGAGTTTAAGCATGAAGTAACGCTCGATGGGCTTGAGTGCCTAAGCCGAACATAAAGTTAAGACTAAAAAGAATTGGCCATGACTCTGGTCGGTTTAATACTAGGTTTAAAACAGTAAAATACCGTAAAATAAATTTAAATACAGGAGCAGTTCCTTAACTGTGCCGCACAGTACTTAAGTGTGAACAATTTTTGTTTTGCTTTCGACTGCGTTTGGCGAAGGGGCAACCACATTATAGCTAGGGAACTCAAGATTTCTTAAGGCGAAAGATTTCGTCGGATTTCGCAAGATTTCGACCGATATTACGCCCAAAATTTGCTTGTCTTTGGCCTTTTTGAGTGCAAGATTTCAGATTTTCAGAGATTTCTAACGCTCATAAGGGGACACAAGCTTCTACAGTGGTTGCCCCCTCGGCGTTTGGTGCAGTCACCAGGACCGAAAAGCCGGTTCGGTGGTTCCCTTTGAGGGTTCGCGCTCACGCTCGGTGCTCTCTGTCCGCAGGTGCCCCGAGCTCAACGCGTGCATCCCGCCGTCGCTGTGGTGCGACGGGGTGCCGCACTGCCGCTCGGGCTACGACGAGGACGAGGCCAACTGCGCCTTCCAGCTGGGCGTGCCCATGCTGTACATGGTGACGGCCGCGGCGGCGCTGGCGGCGCTGCTGCTGCTGGTGGGGGTCACGGCGTGCGTGCGCGTGTGCCGCCACCGGCGGAAGGAGCGCCTGCAGAGCGCCAACAACAAGATCTCCGGCAACGCCATGGGCCCCGTGGGCCCCATGGGGCACCCGCTGGGGCACCCGTACGGGCACGCGCCCAACGCCAACAACCACCACCACCTGCACGTCAACCACCTGCACAGCAACGGCGACATCAAGACCGCCACGCTGACCAAGCGCTACGGCCACCACCACGGCGGCGTGCACGGCCACGGCCTCGGCCCCCAGGGCTACCCGGGGCCGCCCGGGCCGCCCGAGGACTTCTACTTCGACGGCAAGGACTCGCTGTGTTGACAGGACCCCCTGGCTATTGAGACCACTGTGTGAAGGGCACCGGTGCCCCGCTGCCCTGCGCGAACCGCCGCGCCCCGCACCGCCAGCACTGTCTCCGCGGCGGCCAGGGCGCGGCACCCTGGACCAGGCTTGCAGTTTGGACAGCGCGTTTAGTTATTGTTGATGTTGTTCCCCGTTTTGTTTCCATGTTATCGATTTGTTTCCTGTTTTCATAACGTGTCACGAAAACGCAAGCTGTCCTCGGGGAAGTCGCAGGAGGGCAGCGCCTCATAACGTGAGGATGATCCTCGTGTCAACAGAAGGCCTGTTTTGAATGTGTTTGCGTGTGGTGGCGATGCCGCGCCACAAAAATTTATTCCGTGTGTTTTGTGCTAACACGCGAGCTCTCCAGTCTCGTTTCTCGTTGTTTTTGAAAAGAAAACCCCGCTTGAGCCGCTGGTTTGCGGACAGTTTAGACAATATTCCCCTGCGTTGCGCTTCCCTGTTGGCACGAGTCCTGGGCGGAGGCTCAAGGTGACAAGACTGAAGCGAAAGTCGTCCACGGCCTAACAGACTCTTAATGTGTCGTGGACGGCGGAGTGGTCTCATAGTCAGGTAACCGGAGCAGTCCGCCGAAGTAGCGCGGTGCGATGCAGAGCGAGCTCCCAGTGTGGGAGTCCCAGTAATGCGCACCGCGACAGTGCCGCGGAGTGAGCGGCGACCGAATCGTCTTGCCGTGACTGCAGGCGTCGGCGACGTGCGCGCGCGCCCCGTGCGTCCATGATACTGTGTGTAAAAAGATGTGTGTGTGCGTGAGTGTGGTGGTTATTGTGCGTGTGTGTGTGCATGACACGAGTGTGTGAGTGAGTGCGTGTGTGAGTGAGTGCTTGTGCGAGTGAGTGACTGAGTATGTGTCTCCCTAACAGGAGTAAAAAATTTAATGTACAAAGCGAAAATGACTTTTGATAAATAAACAAATAAATAAATTGATTGTTATAAGTTCTCGTTTATCATTTGGCGAACCTTCGTACCTTATACACGGACACCGGAATTTCAAGCTGGGCTTTAGGTGGGCTCACTCTTTTCACAACACGGTAAAAACTGTACCTGGTTACCTGGTTTTCCCAGGAAGCCTGTGGTAGACACATAGGTGATTTCCAGGGGGTTGCCGCCGAGGAGGCCTTGGTGAACGGGCGCAGCGCATCCCGGACCCGATCATGGCGAAGGTGGAGAGCAGCAGCATGGTGGCAGGGGCATCAGGCGGAACGTCTAGCCGAGCATGGCACGTGTTCCCCCGGCACTCAAAGCCCTGGAGTACAAAAATGCTGGGTAAACAAACAGCTTGGTCTCCACAGTACCGTGTCGCGTTGGCCGGATGGCGGTGATCCACACCTTGCGGGCAGATGGTTGCTGGGGCAGTCCATGGTCACGACGAGCTTTGCGTCGACGAGGGTCTCGGACATCGCGGACTAGTCTTGGACACAGGCACGTTTGACGGTGTGCTGCACAACACGCGGTCGCTGTCGGTGGCGTGAGCTCCGGCTGCCGACGTCCGCTCGGATCAGCTGTCTGAACTTGACTGACTGCGCGTCGGTCTGTCTGCCTGTCCCCCGTCGCTGTTCCGTCCGCTCGCCCCGGCTCGGCTCGGCCGGAGGGCGACGGAACGAAGCGAAGCCGCCGGGATGCAGTGGCGCGGCGTAGTTTGCTGGCGCGCTGCGGCGCGCGGGAACTTCAAATGTTGTTTCAAAACCGACAGCTCCGTGACAGGGTCCTAAAACGACGTAGTGACAAGAGGACTTTCAGAATCGGTCTACAGCATCAACCGCCAAAAAGATTTCCCTAACGAAGGGATCGGTTTCCTCGTCCCCTCATTTTCCACAACATTGTTCATTTCATTCACACTGCTTTCCCCCTTCCCCTCTCCCGGTGCGTTGCGTTCCCCTTCGCGGCTCTCTGACGTTTTATTGAGTGGATCCCGATACTCCATCAGGCTGTCACTTCTTTGTGAATTAGGGATTACGCGCCCTACACTGCGTCATGTGGATTTTGGGATACATGGCCAACAATGGCACGCCGCTCACGTTTTTTGGGGGGCCGCGTAGGTGTATGGCTGCAGCGTGTCAGAGAGAAGGGTGAGAGAGAGAGAGAGAGAGAGAGAGAGAGAGAGAGAGAGAGAGAGAGAGAAAGAGAGAGAGAAAGAAAGGGAGGCGGGGAGAGGGGGAAGGTAGACGGGGAGAGGGGAGGGGGAAGGGAGACAGAGAGGAGGGGAGGGGGGGGGGAGGCTGCACGGGCCTGAGATGGAGATAAAGCCCCGTCTGGATTGCCGCGTCGCGTCTCCACGGCGTCGCCGTGTCCGATAGCAGCGAGCCGGAGGCACCGGAGGGGCTCTTTTGCCGGCCGTATCCGTCGACCGTTTAATTTCAGACGGTGCCGTTGACTTGGTCAGCGGCAACGGTTTTGAGACGCACGAGGGGCAAACAACTTCGTCAAAATTTGTACACCGTTATTTCAAATTCACGTTATTTCATTGCTATTCCCGCTATCCCGCTATTTCACGTTGCTATTTTAATGGGATATTATTTTGCGGCGTCTTTTAACCTCATATTTTTTAAATCGCAAAATGAAGAGTGGGAGCACTGGATGTCAGTGTATGTCACTCTGTGTGTATATATGCCACTGTGGGTGTGTGTGTGTGTGTGTGTACGCACTCGTAAATCCCCCCGCACTGACCTTGAGCGGCACTGTAAATCATGGTGTAAATCCACTCTCAATAATTAGGCTCGTGTTTTGCCCTGGACTGCGTCCCACACTCGGGGGCCGTACGTCCCACAGTGGTCCAGAGAAGACCGGCTCGGGTGGCCAAATCTCCAGACGCATTTTCAGCTGTACAGTCGCTAATGGGACTCCAACCGATTCGCGCGACCCCGCCAATGGGTTCCTTTCCTAACGAGATCCATTGGGGGGCGAGAAATCGTGTACAGAGTACTCGCTATTACGCGGTATTACGGGGATATTACACATGTACTAAAATTAAAATGCCAAAATTTGGCATATTTGGACCAAACATAGTATTGCGATTACGTGTATTACGCGCGTAATACACGGTTTTTGGGTACCGGGTACACCAGTGTTAACCCCCTCGATTGGAGAGTCACACGTTAGGTTCGAGTCCTGCTAAGCTGCTCTTGAGTTCAAAACGCGTCTGGAGTTTTGGCCGCCTGCGCCGGCCCCCTGCCCCACTGCACGTCCCGTGGCACAACAGAGTGGTGCACTCTAAATGTCTTACGAAGAAATTTCACATAATACGAAGGAAATGGCGCAAGCATAATACGAAGGTGGTTTTTCTTCGTATTACGAAGGTTTTTCTTTGTATCTTACAATGATAAAGCTAAAAAAAATAGTATTACGAAGGAATATTGCTTCGTATTATGCTTGCGCCGAATTCACTGTAACAATAACATAGGTCAAATTTCACTGTAAGACATTTAGAGTGTGGACTCTCACCCAGGCGCGGATCCAAGGGGGGGCGATGGGGGTGTCGCCCCCCCCCCCCCCTGAAGGCGGCGAAGCTGCCTGAAAGGTAGGCAAAAAGTCGCACATAACCCCTGTAGGTAGGCAACTTTCACGACGTCGCCCCCCCCCCCTGAACCCGTCTCTGGATCCGCCCTTGGACTCTCACCCCCGGTCACCAAGTCGGCCTCTGTCAAGGCTGTTGACGCCCCACTGGCGGCGGGGCGGCCCGGAGGCCGGCGCACCACGCCGTCGTCGACGCCTCCACGACGGGCTCCTCCAAGTCGGAGCGGATCAACCGGGTCAAGGGTCGTTAGAGGTTTTATGATCCTCCAGTGGCCTCCGGGGTGTCTTCCCGGAGTGCTCGGTCGAACGTCCGCCCGCCGCGCCAGGCCGCGCCAGCCGAGCGCTCGCTGGCAGACCGCTTTTTAAATGGGGCTCAGTTCGTCCGTATTCATCGTGCGTTCGGCGAGGCCTGTGCGCTCGGAAAGCCCGCCACTGGCCGCAGCGCGTTTTTTCAGTCGAGCGGCCCGCGTGGCATGGCATGGCGTGCGTGCGAGCGTGGCACGCGTGGGGGGGCTGTTTGCGTGAGTGGCGAGGCGGCACGGCGTGACGTGGCGAGGCGTGGCACGGCGTGACGTGGCGAGGCGTGGCACGGCGTGACGTGGCGAGGCATGGCGTGACGTGGCGAGGCATGGCGTGGCGGCTCGAGCTTGTTTGCAATAACGCTCGGCTCCACTCGTTAATGTACGACTCGTTCGGCATCTCGGGGATTCCGGCAAGCGCGCGGGCATTTACAGCCGAGGCTGCTGAAAAATGAGGAGAGCTTCTTTCAATGCGCAGCGCCATGGGCGAACGGACGGACCGGGCACTCTCCAAATGAAGACGACGGGGCGGGTCGTACTCGTGGTAAAGAGTACCGCGCAGAACACCATTTTGGAAAGTGCAAGGCAAATAGCGTTCGAGAGGTCAGTGACGACGTTACTCTGCACTCAGGCACTTACAGGGGCCGCCCTACATCCGACGCGCGTGTCCTCTGAGTTGCGGGCCACCAACCGCTCTGCACTGAGAAAACCGGGGTAAAGAAGGTGCCACTTTGCAACGGTTTCAAGAATAATTTTCCTAGACAAAATGTCATCAGTTCTAATTAACGTCACGGCATGGAACAAATGTCAGCTAAATGGAATTGAACATGAATTTCATGTACTCAGGAAACAGAATTAGATCCTGTTGATGCCATAAGTGAACTAAAGGGGTTAATTAAAACTAAGTGATCCCTCCTGACGTGACTTTGACTAAGTATTTTGTTTCAAGTTCTAATTTTTCGTAATTACGCAGCATCTACTTCGTAGCCTTTTTTGAGTTGAGTTACGGCCAGCTCCTGCGGAGGTGGCGATTCAAAAGACTCACCTGATCCATGTCAATGGCTCCCGCTGCCAAGGTATCCATGCCCGCGTTGAGGTCCACTTCGACTGCGGTTCTACCGCGAAGACTGTAGCGCGGATTCAAACGGCAAGGCTGCAAACATTTCCAAGGTTTCATTAGGCGGCAAAAAGGAACTCCATCAGGTAAATGTAGAATACCTAACTTCATAATAAGTAGGATAGACAGGCTAGCCCTAGGCAGCCGCAGACCGACAATGCATACTAAACCTACACTTTTGTACGTGGTGACGTCTAATAGGGTACTTTCGTAGATCCTGAACCGGAAGCAGGCACACCAGCAGACGCCAAATTGGCCGGAAACTAACCTCTCTTTGGATCCAAAACTATAGCCGAGCTGTACAAATATTGCTCGCGAAACACATATGCACTGCAATCAAGTATCAAACGACAGTAAATGTTCAAGTGTGGCCGATACGTTTGACGAACGTCTCTTTCTTTCCCATGTCAAGTTTGGATCTACTTCCGCCAACATGGCGTCTGTGTGCTTCCGGTTCAGGGATCTACGAAAGTACCCTATTCAAAACGAGGGGGCAAAAACTCGCGCAATCATGTGTACACGGCCCCCGAAATCACATGCGAATCATTGAGAATCACGCGAAATCAAGCAATCCGAAATCAACCAAAATAACTAAATTCGACCGAAATCAGGCAGAATCACACGAAACCAGGCAAAATCAGTCCGAAATCATTTCTTTCCGAACACAATCACGCACAATCACGCTCACTCTTGTGCTTCGCGAAATAAGGCGAATCAGCCATGAAATCATTGCGTTTTCCGAATCATGTGTACACGAAAATCCCGAGTTTTTGCCCCCTCGATTCAAAACCTGCGTACCGTCGTGCACCAAATTGTGCGTGAAATTGCATAAATTTATGCATCTTTCCGCATGATATTATGCAAATTCCACGTACGCACAAAATCGTGCAAGTTGCACGCACAAAATTCTACTTAAACATTTAGTGTGTGAAGACGTCCATTAACTACACTCTCAATGACTTACAATAATA